AACTGGAAGTGAGCAAGGGTGGAAACTGACGTCCAGTTAGGAGACTATTGCAATAATCCAGGTAAGGGCTGAGGTTGGCTTGAATTAGGACAGTGACAATTGGCAGGTAGAGGAGGGGGCTGGTGTTTAAAATGTAAATCTGATTCTATCACACCCTACTTAATTCCCTGCAAAATGAATTTATCTTATGACACACACAAAAAATCTAAACTCTTCTCCAGACCCACAAGGCTCTATGTCATATAGGTCTTGCCTCCTTTTCCAGCCACGTCCCCTACCGTTCTCCCCGCTCTAGCAGATGCCCTTCCTGTCCTTTCCTCTGCCATACCCTTCCCCCTAGTCTGTCTCCTTCTGTCCTGCAGGTCTTGCCTTATGTGTTTGTCTCAGACAGGACTTTGAGAGTAAACTTCTTGGAGTCTTGTTCAATATTGTACTCCCAGTACCTAGAACAGTGCCCGACACATAGTAGATGCTCAATGAGGTCTTGTTAAATAATTGTACTGCAGATTGATAACTTTATTTTCCCTTTAGCTTCTCAAGAAATAGCACATAGAGAGGTAGATAGATAGATAGAGAGATAGACAAGGAGGAAATGACACCACGGAGGATGCTTCCATAGGAGACAGAACACAGCTGTACGTACTGCAAACTCTGAATTTATAAAATGCAAACACAATCAGGACCATAATAAATGCCAAGTTCTCCACACTTATTTCAGAGGAGAGTTGTTTTCCCCCCTGTCCAAGGCTAATTCTTCCTCCAGCCCCAGTTCATCTCCACAGCCCCACTCCCTACTCCAGGTTCTTGCTCAATTATTCTTCCCCCTCATATGCCTCCATTGTCTCTTAGTACCAGTTATGCTCCCAACCTTCTAAACATCCTGAAATCTTTCTTTTTGAAGAAGAGTGTCTTTTCTCCCCTTTACTGACCAATTCATCCCTTTTCCCTTTCTTCACAACAAAACTATTTTCAACTCCTCGTACCTTGTACACTACCCAACCCACTCCAGTCTCGCCTCCATTTCATTAAAATAATGAATGAATGAATGAATGAATGAATGAATGAATGAATGAATAATAATTAATAATGATGATGGTGATGTTAACTGTAAGAGTCATGATAGATATTAAAGTCTGACTAGTATGAACTGGGCAGTATTCGAGTTCCTCTCACAACTTTCAAAGTTATGCATCATTAGCCCATTTCACAGAAAAGAACATGGAGCATCAGAGATACTAAGTACTTTGCCCAGAGAAAAATAATAACCATAGTCAGTAAAAGGCAGTAGATAGATTAAAAGTCTACATACATTCAACCAAACCATCTGTCCCCACTGAAATTTTCATCCCTGAGGTCATCAACAAATTCTAGATAACAATTCTAATGAATACATTTTATTCTGTTTGCAAGCTGTGTCCTAAAGTATCAGGAAAGTCTAAGAAAGCCTATTTTTTGGGGGGGCTGGGAATGTTTAAAAATTTTCCATATAAATTAATGGTAATTGTTTCTTTGCTTTATGCCATTTCGGTTTACAAAAGCTTCATAGGAATGCTCTACTTTTGGATAGCAAGCGAAACCTGTATTGTGGTTCATATTATTAACTCCATATGTTATTTTTTTTATACTTTATTTTTTTTTAATTTTATTATGTTATGTTAGTCACCATACAATACATCATTGATTTTTGATGTGGTGATCCACGATCCATTGTTTTCGTATAACACCCAGTGCTCCATGCAGTACGTGCCCTCCTTAATACCCATCACCGGGCTAACCAATCCCCCCTCCCCCCTCCCCTCTAAAATCCTGTTTGTTTCTCAGAATCCATAGTCTCTCGTGGTTCATCTCTCCCTCCAATTCCCCCTCCATACGTTATTTTTTTTTAAAGATTTTATTTATTTATTTGACAGAGAGAGACACAGTGAGAGAGGGAACACAAGCAGGGGGAGTGGGAGAGGGAGAAACAGGCTTCCCGCCGAGCAGGGAGCCCGATGCGGGACTTGATCCAGGGACTCCAGGATCATGACCTGAGCCGAAGGCAGCCGCTTAACCAACTGAGCCACCCAGGCGCCCCTCCATACATTATTTTTAATAATAGTTATTAATAACTTGTTTTACACCAAGAATATTTTTACATTTATACATGTATCGGTTTCTTTGCTCATACTATCTTTTTGCAGGTCAGCCCTTCCTTCTGGGATTACATGCCTTCTTCCTAAAGTACAGTTTCTCTTTCAGAGTATGTCTGTTATAGAAGGTCTCATTATTTTTTTAATCTGAAAATGTGTCCATTTGCTGTTGCTCTTGAAAAATAGTTTTCTTAGGTCCAATTCTAGTTTGACAGTTATTTCTTCTCATTACTTTGAAGGAAAGTGTTCATTATTTTCATTTTCATTTGAGGGGGAATTTTTTTTTAAGATTGATTTATTTAATTTTAGAGACAACAAGAGCACAAGCAGGGGGAGGGACAGAAGGAGAGAGAGAATCAAGAAATCAAGAATGGGACAGAGCCACCCAGGTACCCCATGAGGCGGAATTTTCATGTGATCTTCCAGCTTTCATTTTTAATATGGACAGGTCTGCTTGTCAGTCTATTGCTCTTCCTTTCTAGGTCATTTCTCTTTTCTTCCAGGCTGCTTTTAAGTTTGCTTTGTCCTTGGCATTCTCTAGTTTTGCTACTTTGTGACTCAATGTGATTATCTTTTAACTTGCCCTGCTTGGCATTCATTGTGACTTCTTTAACTGTGGATTCGTATCTTTAATTGACTGTAGAAAGTACTCAGCCATAATTTTGCAAAAATTGCCTCTCTTCTGATCTCGTTATTCTCTACTTCTTAGACTCTACTTAGATATGTATTAGACTTTCTTGTTCTTTCCATCATATCTCTTAGCCTGTCATTAACATCTCCTATCTCGTCTTTGTGCTACATTCTGAGTGATTTTTGCCGATTTTGTTCCAGTTTCCCAACTCTTTCTTTGGTTCTAATACACTGTTTAACTAATTTGCTTTTTTTTTTTTAAAGATTTTATTTATTTATTTGAGAGAGAGAATGAGATAGAGAGAGCATGAGAGGGGGGAGGGTCAGAGGGAGGAGCAGACTCCCTGTAGAGCAGGGAGCCCGATGCGGGACTGGATCCCGGGACTCCAGGATCATGACCTGAGCCGAAGGCAGTCGCTTAACCAACTGAGCCACCCAGGCGCCCTAACTAATTTGCTTTTTAAAAAATGTATGTTAATAACTATTATGTTCATTTTCAACAGTTTTTTTCTAATATTCCTGTTCAATCTTTTTTCATTTTTGTGATTCTGTATGCTTTCCTGTATACTTTTCACAATTATTTTATATTCAAGCTGATATCTCCAATTTCTGAAACCCTCAAAAGTCTAAACATATTATTGCTTTTTCTGCTAATTCTCATTTGAGGGGGTTCATTTTTCATTGGTTATAAGCTGATACATTGTGAAAAATCTGGGTGCCTAAATTGAAGATGCTTTCTCCAGAGATGATTTGTGTTCTTCTGGGATTTAGATGGCACTATGCCCTGAGACCATTTTGGCCCCTTCCCAGTTTCTCTGGTTAATTTTCTAGTTTCTGGTTCAGCTCAGCCCCATGGCCACTGGTCCAGGGCTTCATCTTCCATGTTGCTGAAAGTAGATTTGCCTTTGGGCCAGTTTAACCTTTCACATATGTTTATTGTTCCTACTCGAGTATCAGGGACCTCTTAGAAGGAGTTAGGAGTGCTTGGAGATCTGTTCTTCCTATTGCAACAACGAGTTTAAAAACCGTGCCTTAAGCACAATGGCCTTGTTTCAAATCAAGAAGGCTCTTCAAATGATCTAGTCTACCATCATATCCTCTTCTTGCTTTCCTCCTGGCTTCTTTTTTTTTTTTTTTAACCTACCTGTTTTCATTCTGAAATACTTTTTTTTTTTTTTCAGGACTCTGCTACTTCTCTGAATTTTCTTCTTCAGTCCTTCTCTCTCCCACATCTCCATTTTTCTTCCCCACCCTTTAAAGTATTTTAAAAATATTTAAAGAGTTTTCCAGAATCCCAGTTCTCCTTTCTTCTTAGCTTATCTCATCCACACCCTTGGACTTCAGCTATAGTTTCAGCTCTTCCAACTCTAAATTATAAATATGTTTCAAATTACCCTCTCGTAACCTCCATTTGGATTTTCCTCAAACTCAAAATTTTCACAACTGGCCTTATGATCTCTCCCATACAGTACCTACAAATCTGCTTCTCTTCCAACATTTCTAAACTCAGTTTTGGACACCACTGTCCACCACTCACCTAAGCTGGATGGGCCTGTTGATTTTAACACCTAAATATCCCTTAAATTCTGTCGCTTTCTCTTCTGTTTCCCTCATCCCTGCTGCAGTCGGATCATCATCATTTCTTCCTGATCAACTGACATCACCTGCTTTTCTTTCTCTTGCCTCCAGACTCACAGCTGAAATTTGCCCTACCCACTGCTGCTTTTGTGATCTTTCTGAAATGCAGATATGAACACATCACTCCTCTGTGGAAAATTTTTCATTAGTTCCCCCATTAATGCATGGTAAGTCCTAGGCTTCATACTTGGGCATATAAGACCTCCATGATGTAACTTTAAAAGCTTTTTACTTTTCTGCCTATTTTTTCTTTATACTGCAAGAGGGCCGAGAGCATAACTGTCTTGTTTACTGTGGCATTATTCTAGTGCCAAGCCCAGGGCCGATACCTCAGAGATAATTATTAAATGGATACATCACTGCCTCGTCTCTCATGCTTCTGATTCATGGACCCTTCTTGCTAGCCAATCTCGACTTTTTTTTGCAGTAACACAAGTCTGTCCTCTTCTCACAACTCTAGACTAGTTACTATTTACTCATTTATTTACACAAACACATTAGTTTATCTTGGAATTACCACTAACACTCTGACTGGTACTTAGTAGGCTCTCTGAATGAATACATGAGAACAAACTTAGAAGTGCGGCCTAGAAGGTGACATACCTGAACAGTTGACTGATACAGGGGACTGCAATCCAAGAGCAATTTTCCCCCAGGTGGTATACGCATAAGCAAATACAAGTGTAGGCCAACATGTATCTTTCTTCTGCTCTTTCCAAGTCTGCAAACCAGATTTAACGAATCAAATTCTTTTGTAGAATGAATCCAAGCAAAACCAAAACAGAATAAAGGGCAAACAAACCAACTCTCTACAAAAAAACCTGTAAAGGTAACCCAGACTTTCCGAAGCCCCAATTACAGAGAGCACTAGCTCTAGAGGCGCCCAGGTGTTAACGGAAGCCCTGCCCCGAGGGAGGCGGGGCTCGCAGGACAGGGCGGGGTTTGTCCGGGTTGACCACGCCCCTGTGGGCGGGGCGTAAACCGGCAGAAAGCTCAGAAGCCCGCGCACGCCCCCGCCGTTTCCTGGGAGACGAAACACACAAGACGCCTGAGCTTCACGCCGGAGCGAAAGAGGTAAGCGGCCGGTGCCGGGCAGGTCATCCCGAGCGGGCTGCGGGGCCGCCACCCTCTGTCCGATCCAGCCCGAGCCTGTCCTGCGAGGCCCGCCCGGCATGTCCCCTCGGCGCCCCGTCCTACCTGGGCCAACCTCCGCCGAGAGAAGTGGCCTGTACACTGGTAGGGGGAGGGACAGGAGGGAGAAGGACCCGGGGGACGAGGGCGAAGCGGGGGAGGGTCCTTCTGCGCCTACTTCGTTTCTTGCTCTCCAAGGTCCCCTGGACCACTTTTTCGCGCTCCTTGACCGCGGGCTAGATTCCGGGTGGGAGGAAGACGGCAGGCATCCCTCACTGTGAGGACCCCGGCCCCGGAACGTCTCCGTTTTGATCCCCTGCGCCCCCGAACCCCCGCCTCCACCGCTTGCTCTACTGCTGGGCCTGGAGGGGAAACTACTTTAGGAGTGAGAAGCGAGATCGCGGCCCGGGAAGGCAGCGGAATTGAGTTCAGAACTACTACAAAATAAAAAAGGAAGAAAAAGAAAGAAAACTCGGTCTAAATTCCGTGCTCATTCGTACACCCCAAATGACTCCCAGCAGAACCCGGCGCAGGGTGGCCCTAGGGGGCGGCCAGCAGTGGCCCGCCAGACCGGCTGCGGGGGTGCTGGGGGATCACCCGCCGTCGGCGGCCGGACACACAGGGCCCGGGGGACGACCCCTTTCCGGCACACCGGCAGGGCCAGGACCCCAGGAGTCTTTTAAAGGGCCCTAGTTTGCGAAGAAGGATGGGAGAGTCGGCGTGATGAAAACTTTCTTACCGCAGATAAGGCATTTTAATTTAGGGACAGAGGAGGGGGCAGGGAAGTGGGGAGCAATAAAACTGGTATTAGGGGCTTGTAATTTCAATTCTAAAGGAGATTAATTATATTTAGATAATCATTTTAAATGAGCAGACATCTGTCCTAAAGATAACGATGTTCTTTGAGCCAAAGTACCATTACTCTCCAGCCTTCTGACTTTCCTTTACGTCCGCCGTCTCCCAATTCACTGCAGCCTCAGGGGAAGGGAGAACCCCCACCCCAAGGCGGCCACTTAACTGCTTATGCAAAGTTAGCCTTGCGCAAGGATGTTTGATCTCTTCGTTGGGGTGGTTTTTTATTTTGTTTAGTTTTAGAATAATGGGTGAATGTGAGCACAAAGCACAATGCTGTTATTTTTTTAAACACGGAATCTTTGTTGTCCCACTGTAAAAGCTCTCCTTTCAATTTCTGTAAACATATGTCTTGGTTACTTTGAGATCTTTTTTTGTTTTGCTCTTAAACAACTTAGTGATTCTTAAAACGTTATTTTTTAAACAAACGTTAATGTCAGCGTTGGAGTGATATCGTTACAGTAGGTTCTGCAAAAACAAGTTGAAGATTTCCAAACGTTATCTGTTCAGTGATTGGCAGACACAAGTTTTACCCTCCATTTGCCCTCTGTGTTTAATCTTCTTTAATCCAGTCTAAATCCCTTTTAGCTGGCAGAAGCTACTGAGAATACAGCTTAAGTTTACAGTAATTGTGCACTTAGATAAAAACAAGAAAACTATAATGGGAGACAAATTATAAGGGTATTTGTTTAATGTAGGTCTATCATTGAATCTCTAAATCTCTTCCTTTAAATCAAAATATAAGATTTGTTTAGCCGTAGGAAAGTCACTACATATTGTAACTTAATTGTAGAAAATTCCAAGTTCCTAATAGTTCTGCTAAATTAAGGATCATAGTTGTATTACATTTACTTGTGTCCTGCCTTGTTGCATGTATATACATATATATGGAAATATATATACAGTTGACCCTTGAACAATGCAGGGATTAGGGGTGTGAACCTCCTCACGGTCAAAAATTCTAGTATAATTTTTGACTCACCAAAAACCTAATAGCCCACTGTCCTCCAGAAACCTTACTGATGACATAAACAGTTAACACACATTTTGTATATGTATTATGTACTGTATTCTTCCAATAAAGTAAGCTAGACAAAAGAAAATGTTATTAAGAAAATCGGAAAGAAAATACATTTACAGTACTGTATGGTATTGATCAGAAAAAAATCTGCATATAAGTGGACCTGTACAGTTCAAACCCATGTTGTTCAAGAGTCAACTGTAGAGATGGAAATATTCACGTACATAAGAAGTCATGTTAACACATCTCTATTTGGCAGATTTTGTTTTCTGTAGATCGACAGAGAAGAATAAATGTAACCTGTAGAGACATATTATTGTGTGTGAACTGGGGACCCATAGGCAGCCTATGTTTTCTTAAATCTATTGCTTTTAACTAGTAATTAGTTTAGGAGCTTGCTGTGGTACATCGATTAAAGTAGTTGTTTATGTGCCATCAGGGAGTAGAAACATGGGAATAATGATTTAAAAAAAAAACAAAACTCTTCACCTTGATATCTGTGCCTCTTTACACGAGGCCATTGTCTTTATATTTTCAAGGAGGATTTCAAGGAAATGGTTGGCTTCTAACCCTGGAAAACGATCTGTTTTGTAATTAAGATGTCTCAAAGAGGCCTCCCTAAGGTTTTTGCTTGGGAGCATAGTATAAACTTGTTTTACTTAAAGGTTAGGCAGGGCTTAAACTGGACAGACTCTCTGAGAACCACAAATCAGACCTTTTTAAAATCTATGTCACGTCCATTATCTTCATCACTCCACCCCTTCAATGATGGAAGTTGAGAAATGGCTGTGTCCCCTGTTTATTCTTCCCTGAATGTAAGTAGATCCTACGCTGTAGCCACCCTAACTTGAAACAAACTGTGTTTCCAGTGTTTCTTTGGGAAGTGGTTGGTTAGGCTTGGCATAAAGTTTCTACAATTTCCACTCCAAAAATGGTTGGGTTTCCAGGCCAATGCAGAAAGTCATCAATGAGTGAAGATCTGTAGTGATGGTGGTGGTTGATGATCTTAATGGCGGAAGATAAAGAGGCAATTAATTCCACTCTTGGAGGTTAAGTCACTGCAAGGTAAAATTTTGACTATTGTTTCTTGCACCCTGTCACCTCTGCATATATATATTCTCTATATTGTTACTTAACCAGAAGGGATCAGTAAACCTCCAGAGAGCAAAAAGGCAGGTGTATGTCACCTCAAGTAAGATAAGCTAGAAAAGATGTCAAACAATTTAACATGTTGATAACAAACTGCAAAATACTGATTTAATAAAATTCTAAATGATAAGAATAAATACATTTTAGTCCGTGTTTTGTTTAATCATAACACATAGTACAAAACAACCCAGAGGTGCCCAGCTGGCTCAGTTGGAAGAGCATGTGACTCAAGAGTCGTGGGGTTATGAGTTCAAGCCCCATGTTGGATGTACAGATTACTTAAAAATAAAATCTTAAAAAAAAAAAAAACCCAAAAGATCGTTCAAAAATATTTCCTTATGCAGATAAAGGAAAAAATTAAGAAAAGCAAATTCATGTGTGGGTCAGGAACCATGCAGAAGGAGTGATGACTTCCTTTCTATAAATGCCTTAATATTTCGATTCCATGTATATATATAATGTAAAGACCACTTACAAAAAATTCTATTTCCAGGCAAATGGGGAATCATTTGCTGGCATCCGTTAAGACCATTTGCTCAGACTTAAGCTGAAAAAGAATACCTAAATAGATATGGAATCTACTATTGTGATCTGTTTTTTAAGATCCTGGCCACAGTTAGCACAGCCTAAATTAATTCATACATGACTTTCAAGGGGGTATTATCTATATGAAGTAAAATAAATGATACCCTAATGCACCCCCACCCTGTTACTTAAAAGTCCCACAGGGCTCTTCCCACCTTTCCTATGGACAAATACATTCCCGTAATAGGAATAAACATAGTTTTATTGTCCTTCCCTGCACTTTCGCTTCTTCCTCCTGAAAGCCTGCTTTTGGAAGTCTTAAGTACTTTGATGACCACGTCATAACCTGTGGGTCCTAAATTTCTGCATAGAATAGAGAAACAATTTCTATGATTTTATTTTGTGGAAATGAAATAGTACTACAGTGAAAGAAATCTTTGAATGAAGCATCAAATTATAAAGGCATTTTAAAACAAACTACTTTAACTGTGCCAAGCATTTTGTTACCATCTGCAACTCAGCATAAAGCCTTGTAACAGAATGACAGAGATTTTTAAAAGCGATCTAAGAATGAAATGAGAAGCAGTTCCTTGAAACAGAACTAAGATGGAAGTGAGGAAACTATTGAATGTCGTAATGGGGTACACAGTAAAGCCAGCACTTTGTTCTGTTTTTCTTTAACTGCAGTAATAAAATCAGAACCTGCTGAAACCTGTACCCTTCTAATATATACAGATCCACAGTCCCTCATCTGTAGTTTCAAAATTCACAAAGCTCTGAAAAATGAACATTTTAAAATAAATTTATACAACATTGCAATGTAACACGACCTGAATGATGTGATGCCAGTGTAGCCTTCATTTATTTTACTTAGTGGGCTTTCATACAGTTTTCTGCAGCCATGTTAAGATGCTGCTTGGGAGAAATGGGCAGAAGACATGAACAGACATTTTCCAAAGAAGACATCCGAATGGCCAACAGACACATGAAAAAGTGCTCAACATCGCTCGGCATCAGGGAAATCCAAATCAAAACCTCAATGA